AATGGGTTTGTATTTTAATGGGGAGGCGCGTGACACGTGTTGGGGTCGGGGTATGTTTCGCGGGTATGTTTCGGGGTATGTTTCGGGGTATGTCTCGGGGGTATGTTTCGGGTATGTTTCGCGGCATCAGGAGCTACTTTACCTGCAATTTCGGGGGTATGTTACGGGGTATGTTTCGGGGGTATGTTTCGGGGTATGTTACGGGGTATGTTTCGCGGGTGTGCAACCCGTGCGCCATTCTTAAACCTGAGCCCCCCAAAAAAACACAAACCCAAATGATCGTTAAATCCAAAACCAAATTCGGCATTTCTTATGAAATAGAGAGTATCAATTATTCGTGAATTCAAGTTAGAGTTGAGCACCAACCCAAACCCCAGAGAGAATAAACAATATTATACTTGAATAATCTGAAATATATATTCTTCTGCATCGTGCCGGTAAGCCTTATTGTTTTTGCCTGTCAAGCGTGTCCGCGTTTGCACACGTCGGCCAGTGGCAGCTTTCGCCACCCACTTTGCTCCCTTGTGGCTTCTGCTCCATTGCAAGAGCAGCGCCTCTACGCGCCCTCGAACCTTTTCAAGTTCACGCCACGAAGATCTTGCCCAACGATCCTCACGCGCCATGCGACGGCGTTCCAGTTGCTCCAGTTTTCTCTTCTGGCGCGACTCGTAGGCTCTTTGCTGCCGTTCGGCTCTCTGCATCATTGCTTGATTCCAAGCTCGCCAAATTCTCTTTCTGAAAGGCGCACGCTGCGCCACCACGGCATCCAAGCGGCGCGCAACTTCCTCTCGGTTCTGCCCTCGCTGGGCACGAAGATCCAAATAAACCTCTCGCACACGTGACCACATCTCATCCATCTCAGCAGGTGTCATTCGGAATGCCATGCCTTTGCCCCCGATCTTGACCTTGCCTGAGGAATGCCCGCGTGCTTCTCTCAACTTGAGCCAGAATTGGGCGAACGCATCAATTTCGCTTATTGGAAAGACTGGGGTCATTAACCCCCTGCCAGTCCAATGTGAAGAGGGCACCTGAATCCTCAACGCAATCTTTGCCTTGTCGACATGAATCCCATGTTCCTTGGAGGTCACGTCAATGGCCTGGAGCAGTCTGTCCTTCATGCTAGAGGTTTGGTCATTGCGGACACGCTCCGCGACCTCTGTGAGAAGGATGTGCGTGTCAATGGCCTCTTCCAATGTCTTCAAGCCTCTGCACTTCACGTGTATCCACTCAACAGACACGTAGGCATCATAGTTCTGAGCCTTGGCTGTAATGCCTTGCCCAGAGGCTCGAGGGCTCCGACCTCTGGACTTCACATCTTTGAAATCTACATCCTCAGCGTCCTCAAGGTCCTCAATAGCCAGTGCCTCGTCTTCCTCTGAGCTTAGGTCGCCCCTCTTCTCGGGGACCGGCTGCTCTTTGGGAAGACTCGACATGAAGGCTTCCAGCTCCAACCTCTGACTTTGAGAGAGTCGCTCTGTAAAAATGGCGCGTCGGTCGACACCCGTCAGTTTCCTGAGGAGTCTCACAAGCTTCATCAACAGCCTCTCGCGCATTTTGCCGAAACGCCTGAAGCTCTTCTTGGGCTTCCTTGGTAGCCCAGGAACCATATCACAAAAATGGCACCCTCTTTTGGGTTGGTTACTGTATAAGGGAACCCAGAACCAAAAAAAGTGTAAAGGGTACCCACTGGGCTACCCCTCAACCCTAAACCCTAAACCCTAAACCCCTAAACCCTAAACCCTAAACCCTAAACCCTCAACCCTAAACCCCTGGGCTACCAGGCTTCTCATGCTTCATCTTCATCTTCCGAGGCGGGGAGGCGCCACGCTTTGGCTTGCTGGCTTGCGGCTTCGGCCTGGCGGGAGAAACTGCGCCACACTCTAGGGTTGAGGGTTTAGGGTTTAGGGTTTAGGGTTGAGGGTTTAGGGTTTAGGGTTTAGGGTTTAGGGTTTAGGGTTGAGGGTTGAGGGTTTAGGGTTTAGGGTTTAGGGTTAGGGTTTAGGGTTTAGGGTTTAGGGTTTAGGGTTTAGGGGTTTAGGGTTTAGGGTTTAGGGTTTAGGGTTTAGGGTTTAGGGTTTAGGGTTTAGGGTTTAGGGTTTAGGGTTTAGGGTTTAGGGTTTAGACCCTTCGCATACCAGGATGGGCTATGGCTACCCTATCAGCCCCTTAGACCAGGCCCTTTATAGGGTTCATTATGGGATTCTAGGGCCCAAGAGCCCCTGCTAGAAACCCTCTGCAACTTTCCCTACGTGAAGATTCACACCAGCAGGCCCGGCCTGCGCTTGACCCTCCGCAGGTCGTAGGCCTTTCTGCGGACGGGGTCCACCAGCTGCTCGAACGCGGCCAAGACGCGTTGAAACGCCGCAGCGGTGCCCCCCTTGTCGGGATGCACCTCTAGCGCGCGGCGCTTGTAGGCAACTCGGATCGCCGAAACGTCGGCATCCACTGGAATTCCCAAAGTGTCATAGAAGCTGGCCATGGCAAAGCATGCTGCAAGAATCAAAGCCTTTAGATCCTAATAAGACAGCACCCAACCGAACTACTCAAAGTCCACTGCACTCAGGCTGCATTACCAGGACCCCTCCCACCCCCCTGCTGCACTGGGGGATGTGAGCTTTAAACGATTCTAGGGTTTAGGGTTTAGGGTTTAGGGTTTAGGGTTTAGGCTGATGGTTCCGGTCCAGTGAAGGCCTAAAACTCTCGACTTTTACGGGCTCGGTGGAGCTCATGTCAAGCTTGATTGTCACGCTCGAATACATCTAGCAATCGTTGCAGTCCAGAGGCAGAGCTCGACAAAATCTCAAGGTGTCGAGTTGTTTAGGGTTTAGGGTTTAGGGTTTAGGGTTTAAGGTTTAGGGTTGGGAGTGGAGGCCCCGCAAGAGGGTTTACGGTTTAGGGCTTAGGGTATTTTGCGGTTTAGTTTTTGGGTGTTTTCGAAACGGGACTCGTGGGTGCGCAACTCCAGAAGCTATCTCCCTTCTGTTGCAACCCCAGAGCCCGAAAACCCCAAACCCAAAAACATAAATTTCGATGCTGTGTTATCACCCCCCAACCCCACCGAAAGGCCCCAAACCCTCATTAAACTCAAGAGGCTAGAAGGGCAAGCATAGTCGCTTAATATGGGCTCTTCAATGGAAACCCCCTTCTGTGCCCCTTATATACTACAAAACCCAGGGCCCATAATTCAGAACCCTCTGAAGGAGGCAAGGGACCAATATAAAGGGACCATGTAACTACCCATAGAGTTACCCTAAACCCTAAACCCTAAACCCTAAACCCTAAACCCTGAACCCTGAACCCTGAAGCCTGAACCCTGAACCCTGAACCCTGAACCCTGAACGCCGCCCCCCCCCTAACCCCCAAACCCTAGGTTTCCTCAAAGCCGCTGCACTTCGTGGAGGAGGAACCCTTTGCCCGGTCTCAGGGGGCTTTTTGGTGGGTTTGGGGTTGGACCCTAAACCCTAAACCCTAAACCGTTTATGGACGTCGGACTGAAGTTTTTGGAGCGTTTACCCCCGAACCCTAAACCCCAAACCCTACAAAAAGGATGAGGAATAGAAAGCTGCCTTGCGGGGGGTTTAGGGTTTAGGGTTTGGGGTTTAGGGCTTAGGGTTTAGGGATCGAATGCATGGTAGGCTTTTTTGCAACCCTGTCGATCTGTGACTGTAGGGTACCACAACTTTTCAATAACACCTACCATGTGAGAGGCATTGTGGAGACTGTAAACTACCAATTGCTTAACCACCACAAAATGATTTCCTTACAAGGGGAATACAGGTATTAGTATTTCTTCTGGGTTCTTCAGCAAATAGTAGTAAAAGGGTCCTGTCTAGAACAAGGTCATTTCAAATTCAACCCTAAGCCCTAACGATTTTCTAACAAGGCGCTTGCGCGGCCGTTGGCCAAATTTCTTTCTTCGAGGCGACAAGATGCCAGGAGGTGGGAGACAAGGGGCGATGTGACGGGCTTAGGGTTTAGGGTTCAGGGTTCAGGGGTTCAAGGTTCAGGGTTTAGGGTTCAGGGTTCAGGGCTCAAGGTTTAGGGTGTAGGTGTGTTGTTGTTTTTTCATGACTTAGAAGCACGCTTATAACCAGCACAAGCACAACTCATAGTCTTTGCTTTTAGGCTGAGGCCCTTGGAGTTTGATGCAGAATACTTATCTAGACCCAAGAGTAACCTGGGAATAAAAAGGGTGCCCTTTGGGGTTTAGAGGGCTTATAAGGGAACTTAAACCTAAACTGTAAACAAAAGGGCAAAAGGGCCTTCTCTGCGTCCTAGCTATATACAGCTTGAAGCCGAACGGCACCCTGCAACGATTCTGTGACAACCGAAACAGTCGCACTACGCAAAACATGGACGGAGTTGGAACTGCCGCAGCTGTCGTCACGACGAGCACGCCAAGACAGAACACGAAACAAGGCACACATGATACTCTACGGGCAGCAGCCGCAAGAGTGATAGCAGCAACTACGCAACCCCAATTGTCAGCTAGTCACAACAGTGAAGGAGCAGCACAGCAACACAGCAGCGGTAGCAGTCGCAGCGGCTGCGGCTGCAAAGCGATTGGAGCAGCAAAACCGGAAGCCCAAGCTTGTCAGCACTGGGTTCGAAGATTTTGCCCGGGATTTCACACATCAAACGCAGACTGGGCCCAGACTTGGTACAAAAGGGAGTGGTGCTAAAACAAGCTGATTTTCAGCCACGCGTGGGCACCGCTTGCACACTCTCAAGGCGCAGCAGGTGCGAACGAATTAACAGCCTTAAAGGCCCTCAAATTTTACTTAGACCATCAGGCTGTTGCGCAGGCTCACAAGGTTCTAAAGGCTTGCTGATCAGGGCCTTCTGTGGGAGATTCGCATCCACGGTTACAGGTACTACTGCGGTAGAGCCCTCATTGGCTTCCGATGCCACGTTCTCGGCCCCAGGCAACTGTTCCGGCTGCACATCCTTGTGCTCTTTTAGGGTTTAGGGTTTAGGGTTAGGGTTTAGGGTTTAGGGTTTAGGGTTTAAGGGTTAAGGGTTAAGGGTTAAGGGTTTAGGGTTTAGGGTTTAGGGTTTCGGGTCCTTGGCGTCGCCGTCGTCCACGGCAACAGCCGTCTTGGCTTTGGCCTGGCGGCGAGCGCGGCGGTCGTCGATAGCGGCTTTGATGAAGTGGACGATGAAGCCGAAAAGGGCGATGATGCTGGTCAGGACGAAAGGGCCTGCCATCCCCTCAACTTGCAGGGAGGGTGGTTCAGCTGTGGCCTCTGCTTCTGCAGCTACAGCGCTGCAGTAGTCGGGGGGCCTGTATGCGTTTAGCGCCTCTTGCACCTGTCCTTCTTGCTGCATGGCCGTCATGGCGTAGCGAAGCGCCCAGGCCCACTTCTCTGAGACGGCAATCCCGATCAAGCCTGTCGTAATGGGGTCCCCGATTTTTGCCAGCTCGCAGAAGCTCCCTCGATTGACGGCCTGTGATGCTTCAAAGTCTTCCTGCCGCAATACGGCCACATCGCAGGTAGAGCCAACACTCGGCAGCACATCGCCCCTGGATGCAAGCTCGACCACATTGCTTTCGGACACTCCGTTGAGGACGACCAGCCCGCTGTCTGACCTGTGCGCGCAGACCTTGTAGCCCAGCCGGATGGCATCGTTGAGACTGGATATCGGCGAAGCTAAGCGACTTTCCACCACAAGGAACCTCAGCACTACCAGAACTTCTGCTGCTACTACTACTAATTACTACTACTACTGCTACTACTACTACTACTACTACTACTACCACTACTACCACTACTACCACTACTAGCACTACTACCACTACTACTACTACTACTACTACTACTACTGCTACTACTACTACCACAACTACCACTACTACGACTACTACGACTACTACCACTACTACGACGACGACGACGGCGACGACAGCAGTCTCCGCTATGTGGTAGCAAGAGCACGATGCCAAGGTGGCAGTATAGCCGCAGACCAGCAAAACCAAGATAAAGGCCAGCCCCAGTGTCACGATGCGCCCACCTTCTGTTTCTGAGATAGGGTCGAAGGTTTCAGGAATCAAGGTCGTGGGGGTGGATTTGGGCTGAGGGTGGGTCTAGGTTTGGGGTGAGTATAGGGGTCTCGTGTAGGGTTGAGACGCTAGGATTAGGACGGGCTTATAGGGGTATACGGTATACCCCTAGATTTCTAGAGAAGTGTGTCTTTCGGGCCCTCGCAGGTACTGCAGTGCTCCTGCGGTATAAGGGCCCAACTAGTCCATACATGTACACAGTTTAGGGTTTAGGGTGTAGGGTTTAGGGTTTGGTAGCCATATCGGAGTTGGTTGAATCAGAACACGTAGGGCATCATCTTGGAAAGGTTTCGGCAGTAGAGACTTTTTCGTAGTTCGCTGGGGAGGCGGTGACGTGGGCGGGCCGTCTGTTTTTTGGATAACACTATAGTATAGCAGACTCCTAATGGTATATACCCTAAGGGTATCGCTACTCCCACTCACAACCTCTACCCCAAACCCTACTGTAAACCCTGAACCCTAAACCCGCACCCACATATAGAGGCCTTAATCATTAGAACAAGGGTTTGGGGCATATTAAAGTATACCTAGAAAGGGAACCATAAGCAATACCATCAGTAGTTTTTCCGACCCCCGATGTTTTACCCGCACCTACGGTCTGCGGCTGGAACTGGACTTCGAAGGTCACCAGGCTGAAGAAGGCCGTGAAGACACCGGATCCAAAGGTGTCCGCACCCTCGAGGGTCTCGAACTGCCCACCCTTGTCCTTCTCCTTGGGTGCTTCGAGGGCTGAAGCTCCCAAAGGCACTGCCCAAAACCCTAAACCCTCAATTCTGGGCTTCTTGAGGGAGAGGGGTTCATGGGGGTAGGTACCTAGTCAACCTTAGGGAAGCTCGGGGACCTTGGGTTTCGTGCCCCCCTTGAACCCCCCTCCAACCCCCCTCCCGCAAGAACCCTATAACTAAACCAATACCGAAAGCACCAAAATGCGGCCAGGCCATCAGCGAAGAACAGCAGCACCCAACGCCGAATCCAAAACCCGAAGCCTAAACGTAAACCCTGAGCCCTAAGCCCAAATCCTGAAATCCAAAACCCAAGCCCTGAACCCTGAATCAACTCCTAAGTGCTCAAACCCTTTCAGCCCTAAACCGCGAAACCCTAAGGTTTAGGGTTTAGGGTTTAGGGTTTAGGGTTTAGGGTTTAGGGTTTAGGGTTTAGGGTTTAGGGTTTAGGGTTTAGTGTTTAGGGTTTAGGGATTAGGGTTTAGGGCCCCTCAATTCTGCTTCGAGTCCAGCCAAGTGATCAGCATAGACATGGACAGGACTATCGCCAAGACCGTGCCCCATAGCCTCCGCTGTCTTGATATCCGGGATTTGATGGTTTAGGGTTTAGGGTTTAGGGTTTAGGGTTTAGGGTTTGGGGTTTAGGGTTTAGGGTTTAGGGCAAGTGATAGGGTATAGGCAGAAGAGTTTACGAGGACAGAGCTAAGGGATTTCGGCTTCTTTTTCTTCGTCCCGTCGGCCCCTTTTCTCCGGGATATAGGGCTTAAGAGTGTTGAGTTTTTGAACTCTCTTGCTTCCCCTCTGCAAAGTCGCCTCTCATACATTTCGGTTGCAGGGCAGCTTGGGTTTGCCCCTTCCCCTTCAGGGTGTTCTAGGTGCCTACCTTCCTCAACCTCTCCGTGTTCAAGGCTCCACAGAAGCTCGAAACCCTAAACCCTAGACCGAAACCCTAAACCCCAAACCCCAAAGAAAAAGCCGCCCACCAAAACCCGAGACCCTGAACTATCCGAAGCCCCTGCTATAGCCCCTAAGCCCTAGACCCTGTCAATCCGCCCAGATGATCCCAAATCATGCCAAACGACTGCTCCTACATCATCCTAAACCACTCTAAGTCATCCGAAGTCCCCGACTTGTGGTTCTAAACCCCGGACCCTATAACTCTAACCCTATGGCCCTATAACCCTAGCACCCTGAAACCCTCTAACCCTATAACCCAAGCCCCTACATCCCGACAACCCTAAACCTTGAGCCCTCTAACCTTAAGTGGAGGTCAGGGACCCAGGGCTGAAAGGCCGGAACGCCCGGCCAAGCATCCTCGGGTGAACTTGATGGGGGTTTAGGTGGCTTTAGAGCCTTTCGAGCCCTAGACCGTAAACTCTAAACCCTAAACCCTAAACCCTAAACCCTAAACCCCCTAAACCAGGCCTCTTGTTTTGGATGGTGTTAGGGCAATGTCAAGACGCGCAGGGTTTCGAGGGGTGGGGGGAGGGGGGGGGGGGGGGGGGAGTGTGCTAAAAGGCTTTCTTTTCCTGGACACCTGTTTTAACATCAGCTGTGCTCAGAGGGCACCCCCGAAAGGACGACACCTGGGAATTGGCCTGAATTACCAAAGGAACATTGCATGGGAAACGGCGATATATGATGGGATTCCCAATGACATGGCTGTGTAGGAAGTTCTCGATGGAAGTTCTCGATGAAGGTGCTTGTATGAGTGGACTCACAGCCTCGTTTCGTACTGGGTGCTAAAGTTTCCAAGAACAACACGTTCCCTTGCACGTTTCAAGGACTTGAAAAAGGTGGCGAGCTTTCACATTCGAAGGTTGATGGTGTCGGGGTAGTCAATCAGTGGTATGACCCACGTTACTACAACTCCTCTTTCAACCTTCCCCAGAGCGTGCCACTTCAAAAGTATAGCTTATAATTAGTGCAGAAGCATGGGCGCACGGTGTTGTGAGCTTTATTGTTCTTTGTATATACTTCCCAGTGAGTTTAGCAGGATTCGCCACCGTGTAATCGAACTGACCGTATGCAGCGTGGAATACCTCATGCTCGTTGTTCCTGGCATCATTGTTCTCGAAAGCCCGCAAAACCGAGACGGTTTTTGCCAACCATAAACCCTAAACCCCTTTTGGAGGTTGTAAGTAGACAAAGGAAAACATGACAGATCTCAGGGCACTCCCCAAACCTCGATTCGACCCTAAGCCACCTGTAACGGGGTGAAAGTCAGTACGGGACCGGGAAGGAGGTACGCTGTATCCCCCTTTTTATCAACCCTTTCAGGGAGTATATAGGGTACCAAATTCCCCCATCTGCTACTGTTGACTTCTGTCAGGGAAGATCTTAATGAACTGTTGTTACTTTGGGGTCGTTTAATGCTGCACGAAGGCTAGTGACATCTCTGTATCCCGGATGTCCTCTATTTTCTGAATGCACCCCACATAACTGTGGCGAAATAGCAAATGTCCCAAAATCAGACCCAGCATCGATACGAAGTCGTCGCTGGGTTGCTCAGCCTGGCGATGGATGCGAGTTCTTCGGTTTGGGCTTTGTGGGGGGTCTTCTGAACCTCCTTTACTGGCTGGTGCTTAGTAGGGAATGAGGGAATCAGGGCCCTGTAATCATCCTTTAAACGGTATACTATAGGGCCCTTGTTCCCTCATTCCCTACTCAGAACCAGGGGGTCTATGCCAGGGCGTACCCGGCAAAAGGGACCGCAATATGGAACAGCACTCATGTGAGGTTTGTGTTTCTCGGTTCAGGGGTAAGGAGCTAGGGTGTCAGGAATTCTAAACCCGGCCCTAAACCCTAAATCCTGGCTCAGAGGCTCCGAGGCTGTTGGTTACAGATTTCCGGGGTCTGCCGGCCTGCGAGACTTAGCAGCTTCTTCCACAAGGCACGAGTCTAGGTTGCCCCAGGAAACCTAGGATCAAAGGGTGCCCTCTTTTGCTTCAAGGGGTTTGTCAAGGAACCCAACCCCCCCCCCCCCCCCCAAAAAAAAAAAGATAAGGGCACTACTGGGCATCCTAGAATTCGTTGTAAAATATTCTTCGAAAATGACCCAAAGAAGGGAAAATCGAAAACATCCCAAGGTCCTATATACCTTGTGTCAAAAGCCCTCATGACCCGCTCTAAACCCTAAACCCTAAACCCTAAACCCTAAACCCTAAACCCTAAACCCTAAACCCTAAATTGAATCAGAATCCTATTTCCTTTGCTGCGGATTTGGTCCTGTCCCCTAAGGCGCCTTGGTGGGGCCCACGAGGACCACTGGCTCGGACCACAGTGTGACAAAGGGGCTGGCATCCGTGCGCCTGACGAAGGGTTGAGGGTTTAGGGTTTAGGGTTTAGGGTTTAGGGTTTAGGGTTTAGGGTTTAGGGTTTGGGGTTTAGGGTTTAGGGCTTTGGAGATTGGGGGGTTCAGGGCTTAGGGTTTGGGGTTAGGGTTCAGGGCATCAGTGCACGCCTGGGGAGCATCACCATGGAGCAGCCGCAGATGTCCACGAAGCCCATGCCCGTAGCCCAGGAGCACCTAGATAGTCATGCCCTTGTGGAGCTTTCTTGGGGTTCAGCTAACCCTAAACCCTAAATCCTAAACACATACAAAAAAGGCAACCCACAAAGCCTGCAGTAATTCCGAGGCCAGGTTAGAGCTGGTAATCTCGTTCACCCGTCCTCCGTCAGACCGTCATGATCTAGGTTTTAGGGTTTAGGATGGCTGTCTTGGTAGACCGTTTACAATAGGGGTGCCCCTTTTTGGGGAGGGTTACGTTATAAGGGAACCTTGAACCAAATTAAGGGAAAAGGGCACCACTGGGCCACCAAACTCTATGTCTAGTTACGTGGTCCCTTAATATGGGCGCTTAGTTAGGGACCCCTTATAAACCCCTTATAAACCCTATACAAATTAAAGGCCCATGCATCTGAACAAGGACGTAAGGGACCATATTACAGGCATGAAGGGCCCTAAACCCTAAACCCGAAACCTTATAAACCCTAAACCCCAAACCCTCAACCCTAAACCCTAAACCAAGGGCTCATATAGCCACCTTTAGGGTATGAGGACCTCACCCAGGATATGCCTCCATGGCACAGATCGAACTGGGAGCTCGACGTGCTGACTCTGGCCATCTGCTCACGCACCGCCTCAAGCAGGTGTTTAGGGTTTAGGGTTTAGGGTTTAGGGTTCGGGTTTATAGGCCTTACAGGGTTTATAGGATTAAAGGGGTTTATGCGTTTATAGGGCTTATAGGGTTTAGGGTTTATAGGGTTTATAGTTTGCAGGGATTATAGAGTTTAGAAGCTTTATAGGGCTTTTTGGGTTTATAGGGTTCGGGCTGGTATGTATGTGTATATATATATATATGGCTTCTTTCCCTAAACCCTCAACCCTCAACCCTAAACCCTAAACCCAACTGTTCTAGAGGCTCCCTACCACCTATATAGTAAACCCCCAAACGGCAGTCTGAGACGTAAAAGGATTCCTGGCGCGTAAGGGTTTAGGGTTTAGGGTTTAGGGTTAACCCTAAACCCATACATTTTCCCCAAAGCCCCTCCGCCGACCCTGGCACCCGAAACCCTGAGCCGACCGACAGGACTGACCCTAAACCCTAAACCCTAAACCCTAAATCCTAAACCCTAAACCCTAAACCCTAAAGCCCTAAACCCTGAACCCTAAAGCCCTGGACCCTGAACCCTAAAGTGCCTGGTCCACCTCCTGTCGCGTGTCCACAAGAAAGCCAGCGGAGTTCCTTCTGTCACGGCAGGCTTCTGGATCGCTAAGGGTTCCTAGGGTAGGGGTTTATGGGGTTTGTGGGGTTGAGGGCTTATAGGGTTCATAGGGCTTGTGGGGTTTATAGGGTTTATGGGGTTTGTGGGGTTTGTTTAGGGCTTGTAGGGTTGACAGGGTTTTTCGAGTGTAGGAAGGGGGGCTTGCGAGCCGTTTGACTGCCTTCTCTGTTAGGAGGCAAGTATGTAACACAGAAAGTGAGGGGTGTTGATCTTGTCAGGGTTTAGTGTTCAGGGTTTCAGGGTTTCAGGGTTTCAGGGTTTCAGGGTTCAGGGTTTAGGGTTAGCTTTCTGAAGCCTAACTGCCCTAGATGTCACATCAGCTTACATTCCTAATAAGAAGACACTCAAACAGGGCCGGCAAGGCGGAGCTAGGTTGTTTTCGTGGCGCTTGTATACACTTGTCTATTTCGACTTCAACCCTAAATCCCAGACCCAAAACCTCCCAAGACATGAAAAAGTGAAACCCCTAAACCCTAAACCCTAAACCCTAAACCCGAAACCCTAAACCCTAAACCCTAAACCCTAAATCTTAATCCCTAAACCCTAAACCCTAAATTGCGAGGCTGAGGCTCGTGAGGGTGTCCAAAATCCGCTGGGTCGGTCCTGGACACATGGTACTACGGCAAATGTCGCTGCCACGATTCTGTGCGTGTATCACAGGTTTAGGGTTTAGGGTTTAGGGTTTAGGATTTAGGGTTTAGGGTTTAGGAAGTACTTGTACTACCTCTTGTACTGCCACGAGTGCAACTACTTGTACCACTAGTCGTCGTCGGCAGGTGGCAGTGGCAGTGGCAGTGGCAGTGGCAGTGGCATGGTAGCAGTAATACTAGCAGGAGTAGGAGTAGAAGCAGGAGCAGGAGGAGGAAGAGGAGTAGTAGTAGTAGTAGTAGTAGGAGTAGGAGTAGGAGTAGTAGTAGTAGTAGTAGTAGTAGTAGTAGTAGTAGTAGTAGCAGACGTAGTTGTTGTAGTTGTTGTAGTAGCAGCAGTAATCGTTAGTAGACTAAGATGACTACAACTACGAGCACTACGACGACAACGAGTTCTCCGACGACGACGACGACTGCTACTACTAATGCTACCATTTCTGATGCCATAACTGCTACTGAACTTGTACACCCTAAACCCTAAACCCTAACCCTAAACCCTAAACCCTAAACCCTAAACCCTAAACCCTAAACCCTAAACCCTTGTACCTGTACTTCTGGAAGCGATCCTTGGCCACGCTGGTTGATGCAGATCTGGCCACCCTGGCTGCAGTAGTTGCCCTTCCAACCCCCAGTGTTGCCTCGGTTTCAAGTGGTGTGACCAGGGTCTGTTCTAGGGTTTAGGGTTTAGGGTTTAGGGTTTAGGGTTTAGGGTTTAGCGTTTAGGGTTTAGGGTTTAGGGTTTAGGGTTTAGGGTTTCGGGTTTCGGGTTTCGGGTTTCGGGTTTAGGGTTTAGGGTTTCGGGTCCTGGGACCAGGGTCTACCTTAGAGCCAACATGAAATATATGGAGTTCCTATTATGGTACTTTAGAGCTGACGGTCTTTCGGGATCTAAGGCAGGGGTGTAGGGCTTGTGTAGTTGTTAGGGTGTAGGGAGTTGCTCCTTCTCCTGCAATGCGCGGTCTTAGACCTGCTTAGGTGCGACTTCAACTTCCGAGCTTGGGACACTTAGGGTTTAAGGTTTAGGGTTTAGGGTTTAGGGTTTAGGGTTTGGGGTTCAGGTACCCAAGCCCTTAACCCTAGATGTAGACCCACCATAGGACGTAAAGAGACATTTGCTGCTCGACCACGTTGCCTATGAAGAGTACCCGTAGAGTCTGGCCACGGATGCTCTCCGTGATGTTTGCCAGCGAGAACCTGGCATTTAGGGTTTAGGGTTTAGGGTTTAGGGTTTAGGGTTTAGGGTTTAGGATCTGTTCAGGGACCTGACGCCTTGAAATTGCAGCTTAAAGCTGTCTTGCCATGTGCTTGCTTAGGTGGACCTTCATGACGATGGGTTTAATTATACATAAAAATCTGACAGCTAACCCTAAACCCTAAACCCTAAACCCTTCTGCCAGCCCGAGGAGCAAGTCCCGGTAGCCGCAGGTGGTGTAGCTCCAGTACCTGTACTGAACTTGGATCAGTACGTCGGAGGGCTTAGGGTTTTGGGTTTAGGGTTTAGGTTTTAGCTGCTACAGTGCTCAAAAAAGTAAATAAACATATTCCCAAGATTCCCGAAGGTACATCTCCGTGCCGCCAGAAACACTTACCTCGTTCGTGACAGCGCAGTTGCTCCGGTCGACGTAACACCTGGGTTGGCTTGAAATCTGCAACCCTTGCACCCTGGGATCCACGTCTACAAATAATCCATAAGCCCTAAACCCTAAACCCTAAACCCTAAACTTTAAAACCTAAACCCCTGGGCCCTAAACGTATGTAAACAGCATCGACCTTATGCTCTGTGGAATCCCCGAAAGTCCTTACTGGAAGCTGCCTCAGCTCAACAGCCAAAGTGATGTGACATCTAGGGCATATAGGCTTCAGAAAGCTAACCCTAAACCCTAAACCCTAAACCCTAAACCCTAAACCCTAAACCCTAAGCCCTAAACCCTAAACCCTAAGCTTTCTCTGAAGCTTGCCCAGGAGACCACATGTCCGCACACCATCCCGGGGCCTCGGTGGACAAGCACTGGGGGTAGTGGCTCCCATTCGCGTCGTGGGCGCGGCAGCCATAGCCATAGCCAGTGTCCGTAGGGTTCCTTTGGTGTAAACAGGGTTTAGGGTTTAGGGTTAGGGTTTAGGGTTTAGGGTTTAGGGTTTAGGGTTTAGGGTTTAGGGTTTAGGGTTTAGGGTTTAGGGTTTAGGGTTTAGGGTTTAGGGGTTTGGCGGACCCCAGTCTTTCGGCAAGCATGTGAAGTGCTCTTTCTTTTCACCAAGACTGATCCAAGTCTACACAACTAATGCCCTACTTGGCGCCCGAAGGCTTATAACCAGTATCGACTTTCGGTTTTATTGGATCCCTAGAGTTCTACTTCTCATTTTATAGGGATTTCAATACCCCAAAAATGTTAAAAGGTTACCTTCTCTACTACTAAGCCATTCCTTCAAATACTCCAAAAAAGGTTAAAGGCCACCGACTCTATACTTCTATGTAAGCCATTCTTCAAACCCAAGGGCTCTCATCTCTCATTAAAAATAGGCCATTTAAATACCCCCAAAAAAGGCTAAAGGGTTACCTACTCTACTTCTCTCATTATATAGCCATGTAAATACCCCCAAAAAGGCTAAAGGGTTACCTACTCTACTACGAAGCCATTCTTCAAACCCCAGGTTCAGGCACGGGCATGGAGCCGAGCCCTCCAAAGGCATGGCCGTGGCATGCAGGAGAGCGCAGGCCAGGGCCCGCCACGCGGATGGCATGTACACCATTGGGTAGGCCCCCGCGTGCGATAGTGAAAAGCGTACTTCTCTAAAAGTAAGGAATGAAAACTGTGAGAAATGAGGGCTTCTTCTCCCTGCTGCCGCATGCCAGAGGGCCTGTTAGATGGCGAGCCACGAAGCTGCGCAAAGTCAGAGTCTTCCCCGCCGGGCTCCTCCCTGAGACGTGCGCAATACGGAGTCCGTCCTCCACACCACGACCTAAACGAAACCCAAGGTATGACTTGCCGCATATTCATCCAAATACTTCCCGAGGCTTGCAGGGTTAGGCAAGCTAAAGAGGGCTGCACAAAGCAACCGAGACCTGGCCACCAGAAGGGCTTCAGGTCTCGGGGCCCCATGTGGGCTTTCAGGCAGGTCTTCGGAGTGCGAGTCCTGAGCCCTGAGGCCGGAACCCAACCCAGAACGGGAGGGTTTAGGGTTTTGGGTTGAGGGTTTAGGGTTTGCCGGTTTAGGGGGTTTAGGATTAGGGACTAAAGGGTTTAATCGGCAAAGCGCTATTTGGGGAAATATCCATATGTAAAGCTTTAAAGGATTTCCAAGCATTTATTGCGGAAGGCCAAGACCAAGGGTGGGCTGCCGCGCGTCTTGCTGACACTGCCCCCGAGGCGCCATGGTAGCAGAGAGCTGCGGGGCAAGAGTTGAGAAGTGCCGCCTTCTACTGAAACCACCGCACCCACGATGCAGCAACCTACAGCAACCGACATGTGGCTCTTGTCTTCCAATTACTTGGGGGCAATGGGAGTTTAGAAGGGTTTCGGGTTTAACCCTAAACCCTAACCGCCCGGTCCCCCCCCCCCCCCCCCATACCCCCAAACAAGAAATCTGAGAAAACAACTCAGAGCCCTTCAATGAAGGTCTGGAATAATTCCCTCTCAGAAATACGGGCAATTTCTCGCTCAACCATGAAGCAGCGATGAGCCTTTTGGAGTCCAAACTTCGAAAATCAAGCGGGTTTAGGGTTTAGGGTTGAGGGTAGATCCAGGTCCTTGCCCCCCACAATCAGAGGGCGCAGCTAAGGTAGGGCGTTTTCCCTAGCTTTTAGCTGGGGGTGGGGTCTGTGCTGGTTCACTCAAGCCCCAGCCTGGACGTGCGCGCCCTCTCTCTTTTGGTGCCACGCATCAACTGTTTCCTGCCAGGTTGGGAGCTGAAATGTGGGTCAGGGCAAAGATGGCTCTCCGGCTCTCCGGGATCTAGGGTTACGACTGGCTGTTCATAAAGCGATTTGGTCAGACCATGACCTCAGCTCCGAAACGCGCTCCACTGTGGGCTCGTATGTTCAACCCCCTTGTGACAAGACGTTGTATCCCAGTCCCTGTACCGATATCCTACAGAAGCTCCACCAAGAAAGAGGGCGGAGTCTCCAGGCTCCTATAGCCGTATACTATCGCCTATATTGCCTATATTAAGGCATTCTCTGAAGATGGATGCCGGCATAGTGCGGTCTATGGGGTGGCGGAATTTTTACACAGCCGGCTTGTGGGTCGCCCTGCTTTTTGTTTTCCACGAAGGTGCCTGGCGGAATGCCAACAACCAGTCCAGCTCAGGAAAGCGGAGTTTTTGGAAGCTGCTCGACGCATTATTCTAATCTAACAATCGAGTCTCACAGGCGGTTGCCGCTTTTCGCAGGCATCCCGCAGGGCCGACAGACCCTCGCCTCGATGCTCCAGCTTGTTGCGGCCGATGAACAACCTCTGTAGGGTCTCGTTCTGCTGCAGTCCCCCCGCAAGGGCCAAGGCGCCCGCGTCCTCGATGTCGTTGAAACTCAAATTCAGGTACGTGATGTGGCTGCTCGGCAGGGCTCCGGCCAGAATCACGGCCTCGGCGTCGCCGATGTGGAGGAAATTCAGTACGAGAGCTTCGAGGCTGTGGCTGGTGTCGGGCAGCGCGTGGGCCAGCGCCTTCGCCCCGGCCTGCCCAAGGCGGGCGCTGCCGCGATTTTCCGGGTCAGGACCCCTTAAGCTCAGGTGCCTGAGCTTCGCACTTGCCAAGTTCCGAAAAAGAGCGGCGGCGTCCTCGGCTTCCAGCTCGCAGTCAATAATGTCGAGCTGATCAATCCAGAGCACTTGGGAGGCAAAATTCAGGCCGGCCGCGAGGAGGCCGCCCTGGCCACGCAGGTCTTCAGAATACCAGCGAAGAACATTAGTATTATGTATTCCATCGGCATCAGCAACCAACATGGCACTCATGAGACATTGCCTGCAAATGCTCAGAGCCAAGGGATCCACGTCGCCCTCGACCAGAACGTGCCCATTGTCTGACAGTTGTGTAAACCTGGCGTCGATGAGGGGCTCCAGCAGTCGGCTTTCGTTCGCAATGTTCCAGTCAAGGTCCTCATTGTCGAAATGCAGCTCGAAGCCCAGTCTATAGAAGAGCTTTGCTTCGGCGACACTGAAGAAATACCGCTCGCAGCCCAGTTTATGCGCGAGGGTCCGGTCGCCATCTGTAATGGCCGAGTCTAGCCGTTGGGCATAAGACTTGGCCAGGCCCCTTTGGAGCCTGGGGAACATGAAAAAAGAGACAAGGACTTGAGCGGCTGGAACTCCGAGGTTCAGCAGTCCCACCAGCACACTGCCCCCTTCCACCGCCAAGTAGATGACTGCGAGGCCCGCTTGTGGGACGTTTTCGACGAGCAGCATCCAACGTTTCGTCGGGGTGAGCTGCTTCGCGATCAGCACCTTCAGCTTCTCTGACCAGCTTAGCTTGGACTTAGGAGAAGAAGTTCCGATGGTGGCGATTGAAAAGACTGACAAGTGGCTCGCAGCCAAATCCGCTACAAAGCGGTCGCTACACATGAGGCACAGGTGAAATATGATCAGGTACACCCAGCTCAGCCAGCCAACTACATGCAGCCCGACCTTTGTCGACTGCAAGCACAGACCTCCAAAGAGCACGTCCTTTAACGTGTCGAAGGAGTCAGATACGAAAGGGCAAACGCCGGAGAACATCGCCTCTGCAAAGGCCGTCGGGGGGTATCCTCGTCCGGATTCCAGGACGAACGCTGCCACTGAGGCCTGCGCAAGCATCCACAAGCACGCGGCTGAGAGGAGTAGCACGTAGGACTCCCATAGCAACCCCGTCTCCTTCGACAAGGTGCTGTCGGCAATGCCCGCCACTGTGACGCCCATGCAAAGACCAACTGTGCAGGAGAAGACGGCCAGAACCTGGCGGAATCTGCGCTGTGACGACACTGGGACGGGTGATGGTGCGCTCTGCTGGGTGGAAGGCATGGTAAGGTGCCCGTCGCTGATGCCGGCGCCGGTAGTTGTGGCACCCACAGGGTCGGGCTCCAGCCTGGCGCGCTCGGGTGGAGTTCTCCGGAAGCTCCGCCACGTGGCGATCTGCAGGATGGCCGTTCCAAGCACGAGCGTGGAGCCAGCGATGCCCGCCAGCACGGGCAGGTGCTCCTGGGCACGGCGGTCAATGCCTACCATCTGCAGGACGTCATCCACATGGCTCTCAGTGGCGTTGCTGCTGTTCATCCGGCAAAGAAGGAAGGGGGGAAAACTCTCACCTTTGGGCGAGGCCCCCTTTGGTGAAACCTTTGGGTTGCGTCCTCCTTTTTGGGCCTAGAAGTGGGCTTTTCAGCGCGGCATGCAGGTCTCGGCGAAATCAGAACCGAAATCTTCTGCTGCCTTCTGCCTGCATCCTGCATCTGCTGTTACTTTGGCTTGTGCTTGAAGCGCCGCGCGCTGTAAATGAAGCTCTTCAGAGTTCGGTCAAGCTGTCGTCCTTGTCTGTGGACCCCCTAAACCCTAAACCCTAAACCCAAAAGGGTCCCAAATCGAGCTAGTTGATTTTGGGACGCCCTGCGGAGCACATGATGGCTTCCGAGCAAAGAGGTCCCCCCCTTCAAGGCCAAGCACCCACAACCCCACACAATTGAAGGTTTTGCATGGGATTCAGGGTCTTTAGGGCTTCTATCGGGTTTAGGGTTAAGACGGTTAAGACGGTTTAAGCTTAGGGTTTAGGGTTTAGAGTTTGGGGTTTACGGAGAATAGGGCATAAAGCTCCACACACGCGCGCGCACGACCCAACAAAAACCCTTGTTGCAATCTTGGGGCTCCGGCGATGAAGTATGCTGCGGCCGGGGTCGGCGGGACTCATCATGGAGGGCCCTACTCAAATACACTACCGACCCCCAACACGAGGGAGCCTAACGGGGCCGAACAAGAAGAGGGTGTTGGGTTCTTCGTGAGCTTGGGAAGAAGCAAGTCGGCCGAAATCAGCTCTTCCACCCTCACAGGAATGCTGCGTTGCCTGGAAACCAACTTCATGACAACTTCAACCCAAATAGTTCCCACGGTATTCTATCAGATGACAGGGATGCCGAGTCGTGGTGAGCCGCAAAGCTGCGCGAAGTCTTCCCGATTGCCAGGCTCCGCCCTGCATCTAGCAGATGTCATGATCATAGGCGAGACGTGGGGAAAATGCAGAGTCCTCCAGAAGAGAAGCCTAAGGGTCCATGTACCTATATAGGGAGTACTTGGGCCTTAGAGTACCTCCTATACAGGGACTTTGGGGCCCAAGTATTCCCCCATTTAGGTACCATGGACCCTTAGGGGAAGCCTAAACAAACCTATGACCCTAAACCCTAAACCCTAAACCCTAAACCCTATACCCTAGACTATGAACCCTCCAAATAGCCTGGGAACTGAAGGCATGACGCCCTTGTTCCTCAAAGTTGCTATGCAAAGTATGCAGAAAAAAGGGGCTTGTAGGGTTTTTGGGGTTTTGGTGCTAATATATATATATGGGCATGTTTTAAGGAGGGGACGTGTTGGGGTAAAACCCCTCCCTATTTGGGGAAAAGAAACACAATGCAAACCTTTAATACACTTAAGTTCTAGGGACTGCTGATGTGTTTTGAAGCAAACTTGCACGGCACCCGCAGGTCAAACAGCAGTCCTCAGACGGTCCATACACCTATACAAACCCTATAAGCCCAAAAGGCCCTATAACCTATAAACCCTATCAACCCTCTAAACCCGCTAAACCCTAAAACCCTCAAAAGCCCTAAACAAAAACCCAAAACCCTAAAACCGTAAAAACCCTATAAACCCCATAAACCCTTCAGGGTTGCAGCTTAAAGCTTCCGAGGTCTTCCGATTTTCTCGCGGGAAGGCCAAAGGCCCAAGGTGAGGTGCCGCGCGTCTTGCTGACACTGCCCCGAGACGCCAGGGTGCATGAAAAGAGCACGCGATATTCGAACAGCAATAAGAATAGTAACAACCATAACGGCGCTAACAGTCATAATATACATGAAGTATATATATATATATATATATGCATGTACATATATATATATCAGAAGAATGATTAATATATATATATATATATCTGTCAAAGATAGGGTCAATCTAAAGCTAACTGAAAAGCTGGGACACTCCGCACTTTTCCTGGGTTCGCTGCGGTGTGTGTCCTTGTTCGAGCCTGTCGTCGACAAGACGTTCCGAGGCTCTGGTGTGCATTCCACATGCACCTGGTGCACAGCTTCCTGTACTGCGTAGATGTTTAACACCCCGCCTTCGAAGCTGGTGAAAGTCGTTCCTAGACTAAGCTAGCTTCGACTGTCGTGGGCTAAGTTGATTACTCGGATCATTTTCCTTTAGTCAACAAAAGCGAAAACAAAGTTCCTGAAAGTTGCCAGTAGAACGGATACTCCATCCTTTGTTCTGGCTTCCTTCTCATCTTGAAACTCACTCCTCACTGCTCGACTGAGCGCTGCTGATCCTTCCTCTGCTTTTCCTTGCTTCTCTTCTCCTTCGCTTCTTTTCCTTCCTTCATCCTTTCACTTGCTTCTCCTGGTCCTTGCAGATCCTTCCTCCATCTTCATCTTCGCTGTCCTTGATCCACAAGTTCTGGTTCACGTCGTAGTAGAGCCATGCCTTTGTGGCCTGCACCCATTTCCACTGGAAATCTGATCCTTCGTAAGGAAAGATCGCATACAGTTCCTGAGCTCCTTCACTTCCTCCAACTCTGAATTGGCTTCGATCCTGTGGGCCAATCGGCTTGTCCTTCTTCTTTCCTTCTCCTGTGCTTCCTTCACTGTCTGTGGCCTTCTTGAGCTCTTCCTGAAGCGAGATGATCTTCCTTTTGTCTGAGGCTTGCTGTTCCTTCATTCCTCTGACCAACTCACGAAGCTGGGCCATCTCAATCCTCAAACTTTCATTTTCATCTTCTTTTCCTTCTCTTGTTGCTGCCTCTTGCTTCTTCCTCTCTGCTTCTGCTGCTGCTGCCTCTCGTCTCTTCCTTTCTGCTTCTGCCGCTGCTGCTGCCTCTCGTCTCTTCCTGTCCTTTTCCTCTGCTGCTGCTGCTGCCTGCCTTTTCTTCCTTTCCTCTTCTGCTGCGGCTTCCTGCTTCTTCCTTTCTTCTTCTGCTGTGGCTTCCTGTCTTTTCCTTTCCTCTTCTGCTTCTTCCTTCTCCTTCCTGGCTTTCTCCTCGGCTTTCCTCTTCCTGATTCTTTCTCGCCTTTCGCGTTCCTTCTGCCACTTCTTCTCATCCTTCTCTACCTGCTTCTCTGCTTCCTGCGTGGCTCCTTCTTCCTGTGGTGTAACTCCTGCTGCTTCAGCGACTGCTGCGCTTGCCTGCTTGTCAGAGCTGCTGCTCGCTCCTGTGGCTGTGTTCTTGGTGCTTCCTTTTCCTGGTCCTTTTCCTTTTCCTTCCTTTCCTTTCTGGTACTTGTAGACGTAGTCGACGCCAACTTCGACCTTCTCGCCCGTGATCCTGTGCTGCTTGTACACCTTGCCATTCTCCACGTAGATCTTGTACTCGGTGTCGTCGTAGGGGTACGCAAAACCTCTTTCCTTTTCCTTCTCCTCTTCTTCTCTTTTCCTCAGCTCCTCATTCACTTTCCTGATCTTCTCTTTCCTCTCCTTTTCCTTCCTCTTTTCCTCCTGCGTTGATGTAGTAGACGCCGACGAAGATCTTGGTGTGGTAGAAATCGATCCTTCTTCTTCTTCTTTACTTCCTTCTTCTCCTCGACCATGTCCTGTTCTTCGTAGCTCTCTTTCCATCTCTGCTCCTCTTTCTTCTTCTTGAAGCTTCCACCAAATCATTCCTTTGATCTCTTCTTCTTCCTTATCGTACTCGGCGATCTTGGTCTCCAAAGCTTCTATCCTTTCCTTCAAGTGCCTGAGCAACTCCACATCTCGCAGGTGTTGGTCCTCAATCTGTTCCTTGAGGCTTGCCTGTTCGCGACGCTGTTCTCTGAGCAACACGTTCGTAGTTCCTTGGGCTTCTTTCAACTGGTTCAACTGAGAGGTGAGCTCTCTGAACCAGCGTTCCTTCTCGGAGGCACTCGGTTCCATAGCTGCTACTTCCTTCTCTACAGCTACTGTCTCTTCCTTTTCAGGGTTCCTAAAACAGAGGTCCTTCACTCGAGGCATCGAGCTGCAAATGTTTCCTACTTCAAGCTGTTCCTGCAATCCTAATGCACATGCACTCGTGTCACTGCACATGCCGACATGTTCCTGCACAGTTCCTACACATGTACTGCACGACTGCAAAAGACATGTTCCTGAAGCTACTTCAACCTTTGAGCAACCTTCCAAACTTCCTGAAAGCAAAGAGCACAACAAAGCTGCAAATGCGAAGTTTCCTTTGGACTTGATTCTCTTGACTGTGGCCTTAGCTTGTTCCTGCTGTCGATGTTCTTGAAGCTCTTCAATTCCTACTGGTTGGTTTTGTTCGTCCTTGAAGCCTAGCCAATGCATCAACAACTTAATGCGTTTTCCTGAAAGCGGCTTAGTTCCTATATCAGCAGTGTTATCCCTGGTACCTACCGGGTGGACACGAAGAATTCCTTGTTTGTGGAGGTCCTGGAGAAAGAGGGTCCTAATCTGCAAATGTTTCACTCTTCCTACTCCCTGCCTGGTAATGATACCACGAGCAGCGGAAGAATCTAGATGCAAATGCACTACGCACTTCCTACAGGTGAGGAATTCTATCGCTTCCTTGAGCAACAAAGAGTCACTAGCTGAACTAGCTGCAGCGTAATATTCTGCCTCTCCAGAAGACAGAGAAATACTCCTTTGGGTCCTAGAGAATGCATAGATCAGTTGAGAATCCAGAAACACAGTTCCTGAACTTGTGCTGCGACGACTGTCTTTCTGTCCTGCCCAATCTGAATCGGAGTATACCTCCAACAAGTGATGTTCCTTGGGTTTGACTTGGGAAAAGTCATAGGTTCCGTTACGAATGCTCTCGTTGAGGTTTGACATTCCTCGAGGTGTTTTCCTATACGTGCAATGGTAACCATCTGTCTTTGTCATGTACTGCACAACATGAATCAACTGCTTCTTAGCTGCAAATGTTGGCAATGACATCTTGGACGCTAAACCTCTTACTGCGAACTGCAGATCCGGCCTGTCCTGACAAACATATAGGAGGATTCCTACACACTTCCTAAACGAAGCTGCTTGTTCCTGGTCAAGAGGGTTTGTGTTGTCTACTGCCTGGCTCTCCTGTGTGCACGGCGTCG